GAGATCCTTCATAACTTAATATCAGTGGGATTATCTTTAACTATTCTGCCCCGTAACCAACCCCCCCCCCCCCCCCCTTTTTCTACTGTTCAGTGGGTGCTGTAAGAATTTTTAGGTTACTATTTGGTGTGACTTAGATGGTTCTGGTGGCTATCATGGGCAGATATATAAAGGTTTAGTAGAGAAAAGTTGCAGATAAGATTCCTGCTACTTCAAGCAATAAGGTTCTGCATCTTCTTTTGGTCAAACAATACCCTCTTTTAGTGGTGGGTGCTGTAAGAAATTTTAGGTTCCAATTTGGTGGGACTTGAAATGGATTCTGATGGCTATCATGGCTGCAGATATGAATCCTGTTGCTTCTAGCTTCTTTTGGTAAAAAAATAAATTATTCATTCACAGGGAATTTGCAGGTTGGGGAGGGGGGTGGGGAAGAAGATGAGGGGAAGTGCTGCCCAAATACAAAAAAAAGGTTACACACAAACGTCCAAGTAGAAAAAAGGTTCAAGATTTTGTATATTTTGTTCAGATGTTAATATCTCATATGCAGATAATCTGGCAACCTTGTAGATATTTTATTGTTAAAGAGAGTGTATTATATGTGATTAGGTTAAAGGGCATTAGGATAAAATACATCTATTTAATTAATGTAATTAATGATTTATTTCCTTTTCTATGTTAGAAAATTTTTATATATAGGGTTATAATATTCAATAAAATTCACATTTAATTATTTTTAACGTGGTATCTAACCTCTATGTTAAGAAAGCTTAAACTCTTTTACAGATCCTATTTAGTCTTCATTGCCGAATAAGAAAAGTCCTAGAGAAGGGAGGTCAGCCTTCATAGCCAGTCACCTAGTCTTGCCGCAACCACCACAGCTGTCGACTGTCAGCAGCCAATCAGGCACAACTGCAACCCGCGTCACCTTCTCCTGTGACCAGCCACACCCAGCTGCTTGCTGGCGTGCTGCAGTCGCAGCCTCCTTTGGCATCAGCTACTTGACCCCCCTCTTCTAGCCGGAAACAATCACGCGACCAACCTACTTCCGCAAGAAAGACTATGTGCGTGACCTGCTTATTCCAGCTAGCCGAGCTGCGTGCTCCACCTACAATTGTGCATGACCCACATTCTAACATATATATCCGCGGGTTATCAACAATGTCTAGAAAACGTTTTCATTGTCATATCATCTTATCTAATTGTCCTT